CCCTCAGCCTCGGAGATGTCACAGGACACCTTCGTTTCCTCACTGAGTTTTTAGCCTTTAGGGAGCACTTTCTTCAAGACGACTTTTCTTTCTTTTTTTTTAATTTTTTTAAGTGTTTATTTTTGAGAGAGAGAGAGACAGAGCATGAGTGGGGGAGGAGCAGAGAGAGAGGGAGACACAGAATCTGAAACAGGCTCCAGGCTCCGAGTGGTCCGCACGGAGCCTGACGCGGGGCTCAAACTCACGGACCGCGAGATCGTGACCTGAGCCGAAGTCGGACGCTCAACCGACCGAGGCGCCCGGGCACCCCTGGGGTTGTTCTTATATGAGCACCCCGTGTTTCCCCTTACAGTCCGGGGTGAGTGTATACCTCTGCGTGTTCACATACATGTGGTGGCCCGTGCACGTGCACAAGCTGACATATGTGTGCACGCATGTGTGTCTGCTGGCACACGTGTACAGACGCGCGCGTGTGCTGGCACGTGTGCGCACACGTGCTCGTGCACACTCACTCACACTTCTCATTGCCTCCGGCGGCCAGCGGCCGACGCCCACACACGGAGGCTCCCCCGCAGAGCCAGAGCAGAGCTGGGACTCGGGCCCGCAGAGCAGGCGGGGCTCATGGTCGAGTAGGGCCCAGGTGTCCCAGGTGTCCGTGAGACTCCAGGGGAGGAGCCCGTGGGCGCGTTCCACAGCCACCCATCTTCGTCCGTGGCCAGTCATGTCCAACAGGACCGAGCACACGGACAAAGCAGAACCGCGCGCGTAGGTGACGAGGGTCTGGCCGGACCCTGCTGTTCCAAAAGACCAAGCGGAACGGGTTTTGCCTCCTGGGAAGATAGCATCGTCCCACCCCAGGTCCTGCGCCTGTGTTTGTGTACGTGTGCACGGATGTGCGTGTGTACATGTGCGTGTGCACGGGCTGGTGCAGGGGTGCTCTGGGGACCAGTTTTTTAAAAACGAGTGTAGACGTGGGGCTTTTGGGAGAGCCCGAAATGTGAGCCTGGCCTCAGGTGGCCTGAGCGGAGCGTGGACGTGGACGTGGCCCCACCCCCACGCAACAGAAAAGCACACCGCCGGGGGGCCGTTCCGGAGAACAGGGGACACCGTGATTCTTTCAGCTCAGTTTATTTCCACAAGACAGACACATGAGAACCTAGAATAGGTTCTAACAAGAGTCCGTTTCTTTATAAAGAAGAAAAATTGTTCCTTGGTTTTCTCCACAGAATGAATTTGTTCTTACAAAAAAATAATTTTTGATATATACATGCCTACATTGGAAAACCTTTTGTTCTTGATGGCTTTTGAGACCCCTTTTGAGGCAGAGGGTCACTTAGCACTTTATGCACCTGCCGCCTTTCTCCTTTGCCCTTGCCAGATGGTCACCCTCCTTTGCAGTTTCCCCTTCCAAAAGCATCTTCTATGAAATGGAGAAGCTTGAAAAGTGCAGCCAGCAGGACAGCCTCAAAGAGAGCGGCCCCTCAGGGGGTGGCGTGTGCGGGTGGCCGGCCCGCGGGGAGGTCCGCCGCTTCCCCCCGGGGCGACCCGGGCTAGAAGCAAAGGAACAGAAGGAGGCCGAGGTCGCTCTCATCTCTACTGTGGAGGTTTCGTCCTTCTCTGGGACAGCAGCATGGCGCCTGCAGCATTTTCTCTAGAAGGTACCATCACTCAGGCAGGTTCGCACATGCCCGTGTACAAAGTGATCTTTACGGAGCGCGGCAAACACAGCCAGCTGTTTGGGACACACGCTTTTAAGATCTAAGGTAGCTCCCCCAAGCCCCACCCCACCCCCACAGGCTCCTAGAGGCCAAAAATACCGCTCTCCTCAACTACATACAGCTTGTGAGTAGCAAAACTTGTAAAAAAATGAAGTGTACAAAAGGAAACATTCATATAGTACATTTGCACCCTGTATATAACGTATCACTCTTCGAAACTGGCCGACAGTCAGGTGTGATAGGTCATCGGTGATGGAAGAAGAACCCTAGCGCCCGTCGCCTGCACGAGTCAATGGTTTGCGTGGTTTTTCCCGAGAGAGAGACTCCCGTCACAGTTACAGCGCTTATGGACGGTCTTTACGTTCAAGAAGCCAGTTGAATTTCCCGGCATCGAGGCAAGTCACGTCTGATTGTCACAGTGCACGACTCTGAGACAATAAATACAAGCAGAGCAGAGGTGCGTCTCCACTGAATCAAGTCGCTCTGGCTCAATTCAACCAGCCTAATTCACTCAGTGCCTTTCAGTGCCTCGTTCGCAGTGTGATTTCTGTCCCCTTTTGCAACAGAAAGAAACTAAAAGGTTTATGAACAAAGAGACAAAAGGCTTAGAACCGTTGAGCAATTGTCTTTGAAAAGAATATTCGGCTGGTGGCGGGGCCGACCAGTGTCAACTCCTCCAGCCACCTCCTGGGTCCCCAAAAAGTGCTCTTGTCCTCTCACGTCCCCGAGCAGTTTGTGGGAACGTCACCGGTTTCACCAAACTGGACGGCGGCAAATGCCTGCGGTGACACTCGGTGCATGTGTGTCCATCCCCCAGCCAAGCGGAACGGAGCGTCCCATCCTCCGCTCCAGACCCGACCCTGTGTGTGTGCGCGTGTCTGGGCCCCAAGAGGCGAGGACGTGGAGCCCGGGGGGTGACGTCCGCGTGCACCCTGGTGGCCCCGGGTGCTCACGGAGGCTCGCTTTTCTTCAGGAGCTACCTCGCGAGAGAAAGGGGCGGCACATGGGCCAGGGACGTGCCGTGTCCAGAGGAAGCAGGTAGGCGTGCGGGGCCCTCCGTGTTGGCCCTAAGCCTGGTTACACCACGGAAGGGTTAGAAGCCACGTCACACCGCTAAACACCGAGTGCCGCATGCTGGGGAAAGCATGCAGGTCTGGGTGCGAAATTTGAAGCGTGAGTTTACACACGAGGTTGAACGGTGCGGCTGAAAACCAGCAGGCTGGAAAGATCCTATTTGGCTGGTCCTAGAGGCGTCTCGGGCAGAGACAAAGCAACATGCAGAGAGTTACTTATCCGTCACCCCAGAGAGGACACAAATCGGTAGCCACGTGGGCCCGGACAGACGGGAGCCTTCCGCACCGCACGTGACTGAGCCCAGTGCTGTTTCTTCAGATCGGCCTCAACGCTCGGGAACTACATGGGCGGAAGGAAGGGTTCCCGAGCCACGGTGCACGAGGAGGGGTCCCGGGGACGGACAGCTAGAGACCCAGCACGCGTCAGTGAGCATTCCTGCCCTGTTTACAATGGAGTGCTGCTCACGCCGTTTTCTGTTGCTCTTTAGCGGTCTGTGGATGCAGAGCTCGTGTCTACGAGAGGCTGTGCTTCCTGAGGACGGGCTAGAGGGGACACAGGAAGGACGCGGCCACCAGGCCCAGTACGGCCGGTGCCACTTCTTCCTTCGGATTAATCGCAAACGAGGACGGGCTCTCTTTCTGACCAGCGAAGCCCTTCCCCAGGGCCTCCTCGCCTGCATGCAGTGGGGACCGTCACTGATGCCACCAGAGTCCCCGGGTGCTGCTAGCTGCCACAGAGTCACAAGGAAGTGCCATAGGCACCTTAGAAGCCCCTGGAACTCGGGGGGGGGG